AAACAAGTTAGTATTTACAAATCATTGGTACATTGTATAATGTTAATTAAATGCTGTTTTAGAAAAAGTAAACTTACTGTTAAATTTAAAGTAACAGCAATATAAAGTGCTAAGAATAGTATTTAAGCCTTTCAACTAGATTTTAGGGGTAAGGAATGTGACCATAGAGACATAGTATGAAGCCGTGAGGTCCAGTTTCAGTGCTGTAAATCAAATTAATCAATTAAATATAAAACAGACCTAGTATGTGTATAAATAGAAAGCTGATAGTTAAAACATGATATAAAGATGAGAAGAAATTTTATGTAAGAATATGCATTGTGTTTATTCTTATATGTAGGAGAGGGCATATAAGAAAATGCAATGTAGAGCACCAAAGAGTGAGTGTAGTCTTTGCTGTAACATCACCAGTATACTTGGGAAGTTTCTAGCCCTGCAGATTCCCAGAATCAAGACTTTCCAGATCAGAAACTCAAAGGACAGGACCCCCAAATACACTATAACACATGCCCATATGATTTTACTGTTAACAGAAAGATATGAATTATAGTAGTGAGCAAACACAAAGGGCAAAGTACAAATGGGAAGCTGAGAACACCCTAACAACCTAGCAAAGCTTCATTTCTTTCTCTCTCACCTTGGCATGGCTTTGAGGCAGAGACTGCCCGTTGAAATTTATCCCAGTATGAGCAACTCAGGAAGAGGCTAGAAGCTGGTGCATATCTAGAAAGGTGAGGAGCAGGAAATAAGCATCTTTTTATGCAAATCCTAAAATTAGCTATGGGTTCCTGCCTCATAAGGCTTGTGGGTATCAGTTTCATCTTATGGGCCAGAACATAAATCCAATCAGAAAGTGCTTGATTACTTCCATGATGCTCATGATATTATTGTGCAAGTGAGCATGTCTTGCCAGAGCAGCCATTATTGTAGTTCACAGGGTCAACACATCAATAAGACTGAAGACAAAAATTCTCTTCTGATAGCATGCATGACACCTTTCAGGGCTATGAAAGTAGTCAATAGAGATGAAGTTTCCATGTCAGTACTAGTTTGAATTTTCCTTGTTTTATGACCCAAGTGTGTAGTGTCTTCAGAAATAGGGTCTTAATATCATCCTGGAAAGTAATCAAGAGCATTGGTAACATCTGGTAATGTTTGGAGACCATATTAAACCAAGCCCTTTTGGATATATCATCATACTCATAGATTAATGGATCTCTCAACACTCATCAGAGATGCTTCAATTCGAAGTAGATGATGATTAATGCAAAGACTCACAACTTGCCCAATAAGCGACACTGGAGTGTTCAACTACAAATGAAGTATATAGCCACATCCCTTCTCTCATTGTTTAGAAATTATTTAGGAAGGCTGAAAGAATGTAAAAGTAGACACAAGGAAGTTGTGTCATAGACATATTTGGGCAACAGAACATTACTAACATTGGTACAGAGTCCCACTCCCAGTCATGAAGCTATTGGTAAATGATAGCTTCTGGGAGAAGGGGAATCACCTAGTGTGTAGCCCCCATGTTTCCAAGGAAGGTCACACCTTCAAGAATATTTTGGCAGCACAAATTGGCCTCATTGGGATAAAACAAAACAACAAATAAGCAAAAAGAAACCAGAAAGTTTGGTGGGTAGGAATGTTGAGGGATCTTGGAAGAGTTGGGGAATAGATGCTGAATATGATCAAATCCAGATATTCTGCCATCTTTTCTTAGCACAGCACAATCTAAGTAAAATTCAGTTGGTAAAGAACATGAATGAAACATAATCCAAGAAAGCTTATATAATTTGAGTCTTCTTAAGTATTAGAAGTAGAGTAAAAAAGTAAAAAAAAAAAAAAAAAACAAAGAAAACTGAAAAACAAACAAAAAACCCAAAACCTTAGTCACTTCTTTAGTGACACTGTTGCCATGATTGACCACAAGCAATTTAAGAGATAAGGAGCTTATTTCAGCTACAGTTTAAGAATACACATAATCCACCATGGCAGGGAAGGGGGAAGACATGACAGCAAGAACATGATGAAACTAGTCACATCACATTTGCATTTTTTTAAAGTTGATAAAGATGAATGCTGATTCTCAGATTGATTAGTTTCTCCTTTTTATTCATTGCAGGACCCCTTGCTAAAACAAACCCATTTCTCACAACATTCACCTTTGTCCATTTATCTTGCTATTTGCATGTACCTTTCGATTTTCAGTTTGAAAATTGCCAATTTCTTAATTTAATATTAGGCATGTTGAAATATTTGAGTTTCTAGTGTAGAGTCCAGAGCTAAGTCTCAGCAACAAACTAATGGGTTAAAGGTGCTTAATGAAAAAACACTGCTTTCATGAAGAGAAAAATATGGAAAACTTTTTGGGGCATTTAATGCCTCTCCATCCACAAAGGAATTTAATTATTTGCACATTTTGTGTAGACTAAGAAGTTTGAGGTGTAAAACAAATGACAAAAGACAACAGGTCTATAGAACTTCCATTTGTAGGGAACCTCAGCTTTATAAGAAATAAAAACAATGATATATATACACGCACACACATACACACAAGGAGAGAGAGAGAGAGAGAGAGAGAGAGAGAGAAAGAGAGAGAGAGTAGTACAGAGTATACCCTAGATATAAAGTACTTTCCTAGTTTGTAAGAGGTCATATGTTCTTATGAAATAGTTCACAGAAAAATACTATGTAAAAAGAACAAATTAAACTAATATGCATAAAAACAAAATATTTCAACATACAGAGCTTACATAAGAAAGAACAAATAAGAAACATAGCTGCATTATTTGATAAAAGACAGTTAATACTGACTAGAGGAAAGGGTGCTACTTTTTCAGTGGTGTAACCACACTCAGATTGTCCATGTTCTGGGAAATAAACTCCCATTCAGGTTTATGCAGGAACACCATTTAAACTCAGTAGGTCACACATGTTCAAAAGACTTGAAAGTAGGAAGGGTGCTTTCTGGGAAGAAGTGGGTTTAGGCTTGTGGTGATGATGCAACTCACATCCCCAGTCCAGAAACTCAATTCTGGGCATAGGGAGGTCCTAATAAGTCATATCCAGCAACCCACTCCCAGAAAGAAAAGGAAAATAGCAATGCTGAAGGCAAGAAAGAAATTTAATATTCAGTGTGATCATATGAGATTACAGAACATTAATCTTTATGTCTGTTTGGGGGTAACTGGTATAAATATTGGATTAAATGGGAAAAACTGAAGCAGGGCTGTGCATAAGTACTAGCTTGTTCAGATTATGTCTGGTTGGACCTTTCTTCTTTTCAGTTCTGTGAGGAGATTCTGAGAACCACTGCTTGAAAAAACAAACAAGATTCCATCTTGAAGTGGTTGCTCTAGCATAGTAGAGCAGATTCTTCTCCCATTGTGGGGAAACTGTTCCCATTATGGGGCAGTAGTTCGCATCACTGGGCAATTGTTCCCATTTATGGGGTGGTTGTTCCTACTTAGAGCAGTTTCATAAGGAAGTGACCTGCTTACATGCTTCCTTGCTCCTACAATCCAATGTGACTGCAGGTTTTGTGTACTGACTTGAAGATTTTCAGTGCATTCAAAGGTCGGGAAAAGGCTTCTATAACTATCCCTACAATTTTTGATATTTTAATTACTATCATGGTATCTTCAGCCTTGAAGGAAGGACATTTCAGTTTCTAATAAATATTCCTAAAAATTGCTAAAATACTCACATGCAGAGATGAGCAGGAATCTGACTCTAATGAGACAGATACAAAGGCATAAATGCTAAAATATCTCAACAGCACCAGAGGTAGTTATAATGTCTCCCATAATTTGAATGTCAGGGCCATTGTTTTTATTATGTGGTAAAATGCAGGATCTTTTTGCTTTATGTTCTAGTGAATGTTGTGGTCTACATAAAATTAAAAAGCAGCATCAAATCTGTCATGAGATGACGTTAATCAGTCCTATTTGATGTTAAGGCAGTGTGCCTAAACTCAGAAGGGAAGGATCATTTGACCTTGCTAGAGTTGGCCCCATGGTAGGAAAGAACTTGATATTAAAATCCCTGAAGTCAAGCAAACCTGTCACAGATAACTTTTTATGGGGAGTTTAAAATGTCAATGCAAAGGTTGTAATGTCATCCACAAAGAGCAAGAGATTTGATGGAAATCTATATTACATAGTTCCAGTGCAGATTTATGCGGCAAGAAAAAGTCAGAAACTTCTCTGAGCAGTTGCCAAGGCAAAAGTTTGGGTCCAATTTTCTTATTGTGATATTGATGATTGCCCCTAAATAATAAACTTTATGTCTTAACAAAAAAATCAGCAAAGTAGCTTGACTACTTGACTCCTATTCAGTCATCATACTAAACCCTCATCAACAATGACCTCATACTATAACTTTAGCAGTTCATTTAAACAAAAACCCAAGAGCTTTCATACGATGGAATTCTGGGTATGTGGGAGATACTTTGGTATTTCTAGAAAAGAAAAAGAGTATCTTTTAAATACAATAAAATTGAGAGATAATCCAAACCAGAATAATGAGTGATTAAGTGATTGGAAAGATACCTAGTAGAGTGTGTTGATCACTTTTGTCATTACTATGATAACAAACCTTACTGAAAGACAAGACTTATTTATTTTGGCTTATGATTCAGAAGATATCAATATCAATAAATCAATCACAACTGGGAGGTCAGAGAAATGACTCACTGGTTAAGGGCACATGCTGCATTTTCAGAAGACCTAAGTTCAGTTCTTAGCATGTACATTAGGCAGTTTACAATTGCCTATAACTCTAGCATCAGGAGCTCTGAAGCTTTATTTGATTTCACTGGACACACACACACACACACACACACACACACTAAAACTAATAAATAAGAAATAATTGTGGAAAATTGCTGATTCCTCAATATAGCTTTCTTTTTTCAAGTCCTATCAGTTTCTTAGGGGAAGTTCAGGAATCATTCTCCCACTACATTTCCCCTGTCCTGACATGTGTGCTCATTTCAGAGCTGGAGGCTGAGGAGTGGTGCAAACACCTTTGCATGGAATGCCTGGGGACAAGGCTGAATGACATCAGTCTAGGGGAGCCTGACCTACTGGCAGCTGGGGTGCAGCGGGAACAGAATGGTGAGTGACTGCCTACTTTTCTACTATATCAGGTGGCCTTTTACACTGCAGAGAAAATCAGATGTTTCAGAACATTCATGCTTTAAAGAGTTTATTTTCTTTAAGGATGTGACTCTGGTCATGAGCAAATTCCTGTGAAAGTCATTCATCCAAAAGTATACAAGCAGAACATGTTGGAAATGATGCATGAGTTATAAAAATAAATGAGGACACAGAGTTTAGTGGCTATAGAAGCAAGGTGAATCTGGAAAGAGTTGGGGGCCAGAAATGAATATAACAAAAATACAACATATGGGATTCTTAGAGAATTACTAAAAATATTGCAAAAAGAAAGCAAATTTAGCAACAGGTTATTAAGAAAAATTTAGTGGTGTAGTAGCTATAGAAAATTATGTTGTTCAACCCAGGTTCCTGATTTATTGATAGTGTCTAAAAACTTAGGTAGTTATTGTATTTTATATATGTGACTTTTGAGTAAATAACATTTTTATAATCTTTTATATCTAATATAGATTATATATTAACAAATTTAGTTTATCTGGATATTATATCCCTTAGAGTATTTGACTAATATTTCTACTGGTGGGAAAGTAGTTAATGTGTTTATCTAATACAATGCTATTTAATTTCATAGTTGTGTCTACAATATCATCATAGTCTTGATTAGTAATACTAATGAAACCAACTTCATTTAGTAATATATTGTTCAATGTGATGTTTTAGGTTACATTTGTAGTAACTTTTAATTAATCATTGGCCCATTTTATCTAACTACAAAATTCTCTTTACAAGCAACAAATCTAGAATCACAAAAGGAGAAAATCTTCTGTGATGTTCAATTAGTATTATACAACTTGTTTCTTCTTTTTACAAGAATTTGCAGAATTACAAGTATTACATAAATTAATAGCACTGGTCAAAGCATGTCATGAGAGTCCTTGGTGATTAAAATCTTGTTGCTACTGATACCAATGTTGTTAACAAGCATCATTATCTCATAATCTCTTAAAAGTCTGTATTTTCTTTGTAGCTGAAATAAGAAAGCAAACCATTTCTTGCTGACTGATCAGAAACATATATACATATTTATATATCTATATAGTTATAGTCCAGATGTTGCCTCTTTTGGATAGCTTTTACAAAGTCATCAAAGAATTCCTGAAACTCTTTTGTAATTTTAAAAAATATTCTCATGTTCTCCCATGCTCACTTCGATTTCCATTTCTCTAATTGTTTTCTGGTTCCTGTGGTACACCTCCATAACTGTGCTTTGTAACACACACATTCAAAATTTAATATGTTAAAACTGTGGCTGATAATGATATTTCAAGAGCATAAGGAAACAAAGGAGATGAATAAGCTTGTGGGTAGAAATACCGTGTGCATCTAGTATAAAATATTTGCCTTCACTTCAAATAACTGGAATTGCATATGGTTTCCATTCAAGTGGATAATATAATCCCTCAGTGTATTACAATTCTGTTTCAAATTTAATGATACTCTGGGTTTGTCTGCAATCTGAAAGAAAATTTTCAATATGTACTCCAGGATTTGCAAACATTAAATTATGTGTAAGACCTTTATAATAAACTGTATGTTTTCCTCTTTAAAAGAAGCATAAGAGAAAAATAAAGCAAAAGTAATTCTTGTATAAACTTTACAACAGACTTGAAATTATAATACCACCAAAGCAAAAAATTCCAGCCTGGGAAGAATTATTAATAATCTTAACCAAGGACTTTGTAGGTGGGATAAATCTACACATCACTATTGAGCTAGAGAAGGTGTTATTAGTTCATTTAAGTGGCAAAATATACCAGATAGCTTTACTAGTTTGCTTCTCTATTACTGTGACACAACACTGTCCAAAAACCTGGCTGACCATGAGCTGAGGAAGGACAACAGCAGATGCATCATGCAAAGAGGAAAGACCATGGTGCCTCAACACTACACAACTATAGGCAACTAAGGAATACTGAGAGTGAGAGACATAGTCGCCTCCAGGGAAGAGCATACTAATTAGTGCAGTGTGATCCATGTTCTAAGGTCTTGTTAACTGACACACTTACTAGGATGTTGCTGCTGACTTTCAGTGATTTCTGCTCCTGTAAGTAACCCTTCACCCACATTTCTGTAAGTAACCATGATAAAACTCATTGGTTCTCCAAGTTGGAAATTTGGTGCTCTCCATGCTTTGGTCTATCATGGGATCCCTATCTGTGATGAATAGACGTATGTGTTGTATCTCACTAGAAAAAGTTTTGTCACACAATAGAATCTGAGTCTCTAATGTATACTAAAGAATTAATTTAACATGAGTGAAATTAAAGACAACTTTTTTATAACACTAAAAGCATGAACTATAAAAAGAAATCAGCCAAAATACATCAAGAGACTCAAATTTATGAATGCCAAAATCACCATAATATTTTTAGGTGAAGTAATAAAAAAAGAAATTCACAGATGGAGGAAATTAGCACTCTGCTGAAGCTGGTTTCTGCCAATTCACAAGAGCCTACTATTACAGGCAAAAATATCCCAAGTACTAGAAACCAGAGCTGTGCTTGCTTCTGAGTGACGAGTCGCTAGGACACGGTGGAAGAGAATGAGCGTCCTGATGTGACAGGAATATTCTAAGCCCAAGTGGGTCTTTATCAAAAGCAAAAGATACAAGCATTCCATTCATATGTCCCAATAAGGGACAATATTCCAAAAATCAGGAAAATATAAAAAAGTACTGACATTAAAATTATTTCCTACTTTCTTTAATTAAATAACATAGGAAACATTAATGAAAATATTTATCAAAAACATGATAATTAAAGAACCTCAGATACAGAATTCTGAGATCAACAAAAGAAGCTATATAACTTTTTTAATTAGTCTGTTCAAGACATTTAAAAGAACACATATATAAATGGATTTGGAATTCTACTATCAAGCAATTCTTGTAAAAGTTTTTACCATTTAGCTCACAATTCAGACCTTAGTGTTAAATGTATATAGTAATCAAGTATATTTAAACTATCTATACCTTATATACAAATACACATTAAACTCTATCAGTGAAACAAAATAAAGCAAGTTATATTATTGTGGGTTAATTATATATTAGAAAAATTTGGTTTAACTTTAGTACTTTTCAAATGGATAAGTTATTATGAATTTTATGCTCAGGGAATAATAGCATCTGAAAGAGCATATACTATAATAAGTATGACATGTTAAATATTTTATATGCAAAATAATAACAATTTGTATGAGTATGTTCACATATTGATGTGCACTCTATAATTAATAACAATAATGGATTGTTTACTTTCAAAATATTTTCCATAGTTACTGGAATAAACTTGATTTAGTTGGAAAATTCTACCAGCAGTCAGGTTTTGAAAAATTTGGAAATGACTGGGCATTGGAAATTCACTAAGAATTTTAAGTGCTAATGATTACTTTTTTTTATTTATTTAGGTTAGAAACGATCTTGTTTCACATGTCAATCCTAGCTCCCTCTTCCTCCCCTCCTCTCCCTCCCTCCCAACCAAGTCCCTCAGACCCCCCCCAAAATCCCCACTCAGATCACCACGTAGGGTGAGGCCCTCCATGGTGGATCTCCAGTAACTGTAATTTCACCAAGGACAGGGCCTAGGCTCTCCCCCAAGAGTCCTTGCTGAGAGAGCTTCCCATATTGTAGCATGGGCACTCAAAGTCCCTTTGTACGCCAGGGGTAAATACTACCTAAGGCCCCATAGATTACCAAGGCCTCCTCACTGACACCCACATTCAGTGTGTCTGGGTCAGTTCATGCTTTCCACACAGCCATCAATCTAGAGTCCAAGAGCTCCCCCTTGTTCAGGTCAGCGCTTCTGTGGGTTAAACCAGCCCACTCTTAACTCCTTTGCCCATCGGTTCTCTTTCTGACACTGGATTCTAGTTCAGTTCAGTGTTTGTCAGTGGGTATCTGCCTCTGCTTTCATCAGTTGCTGAATGAAGGTTCTGTTTCCTAGACTCTGTGGCAGTGGGATTGTATGCTGGTACTCCCCTGATTCAGGGTCTAAAATCCATAAATGAGTGAGTACATACCATGTTTCTCTATTTGTGACTGGGTTCCCTCACTCAGTATGGTTTCTTCTAGTGCCATCCATTTGCCTGCAAATTTCAAGATTCCATTGGTTTTTTTTTCCCACTAAATAGTACTCCATTGTGTAAAGGACACAGTCAGCAAGACAAAAAGGCACCCCACAGATTGGGAAAAGATATTCACTAACCCCACATCTGACAGAGGGCTGATCTCCAAAATTTGCAAAGAACTCAAGAAGCAAGTCTCCAAAACACCAAAGGATCCAATCAAAAAATGGAATACATAACTAAATGGAGAATTCTCAATAGAGGAGACTAAAATGGCTGAGAGACACTTGAGAAAGTGCTCAACATCCTTAGCCATCTGGGAAATGCAAATCAAAACAACCCCGAGATATCATCTCACTCCTGTAAGAATGGCCAAAATCAAAAACACCAGTGACAGTTTATGCTGGAGAGAATGTGGGGAGAGGGGAACACTCCTACACTGCTGGTGGGAGTGCCGACTTGTACAGCCACTATAGAAATCAGTATGGAGATTCCTCAGGAAAATGGGAATCAGTCTACCACAAAACCCAACAATCCCACTCTTAGGCATATACCCAAAAGATGTACATTCATACAACATGGATGTCTGTTCCACTATGTTCATAGCATCATTATTTGTAATAGCCAGAACCTGGAAGCAACCTAGATGCCCCTCAATGGAAGAATGGATAGAGCTAATGATTACTTTTAAAATGCAGGTATTCCAGTATTCCCATTCACAGCGACCTGTGCATTGAGTGGATGGCAACAGAATGTGCAATTAATAGCCACATTACAATCAAATAAATGATGATAAATTCCTAGTTTAGGTAAGGATGTAATCACATTTTCTAAAGAGTTCTATAAATTATGACAAGCATGAATCATGTTTT